CCCCCGTTCAATGTCATAAAGGAGAGAGAGAGAGAGAGAGAATCGCGAATATTGTATTCCCTTCTCTTCTCTCGTTTGTTACACTCTGAAAGCGTTTCTTTCTTTTTTCTTTTTTAACGGTTGACAAGGTTGTTATCGAGTTAAGTTAAGTTAAGTTCGGTTATTCGGTTATTAAATTTAAATGGGGGAAATAGGAAGATTGGGATGAAGTGGATTACGAGGGATTAGGAGGGATATTTTTTTAGAAGAACGATGGTTGTGATATAATTAAGTATGTGGTTGGTCTGTTCGATTTTCAGGTGTCGTCCATCAACAGGGTGTTGAGAAATTTGGCGGCGCAGAAGGAGCAACGGCAGCAACAGCAGCAGCAGCAGCAAGGTGTGGCCGCTGTTGGCGTCGGGGTAGGTGCTGGTAGCCCGGCCGAGAGCGTTTACGATAAATTGAGATTGCTCAATGGGCAAACCACTGGATGGCCACGACCCAATCCATGGTGGGTTTATATTCTTTGAGATCAATTAAATTAAATTAAATTAAATTAAATTAAATTAAATTAATTGGGGGGCAGTTCATTTTCACTTCAAATTTTCCATAAATTATTACGATAATATTTGTCGTTGAATTAATTATAATTTTAAGAGAGAGAAAAATTATAAAATTGTTAGGAAGAGAAGGAACGAGACATATATATATATATATATATATATGTTTGAAAAGCAACAAAAGACAGAGAGTGGAATTAAACCGAGATCTTTCCATTTCTAAATTTTATTTCACTTTAGGTATCCATCTGGAGCTGGCAGCCCATTTCCATCCCTGCAACCCAGTTTGAGCCCGAGTCATTGTACGGCCTTGCCACCGGATCCTGCGGACATTCTGCACGCAAAGAAGGGTAAGTGAAAGAATCGCTCATCTCGAAATTTCATTACGCGCTCATTTTGATCAAACTCGTAACTAATATAATGTAAATATCTTATAATTAGACCGTATGAATGTTACAAAAAAAGAAAACTATTATAGAGTGTATGTAATATTTAAAAAAAGTATATAAAATATTCAAACCATGACACCTCTTATTATTAATATTAGTTGTGAAAAGTAACAGTAAGAAAGAATATATTTAATGAAGGAAATAAAAATTATGTTATATAAAAAAATATATAAAATATCCAAACCACAACACCCTTTATTAATATTAGGAAGTAAGTTGTGAAATAATTGAAGAAATGACCAAAAGAATAAAAAAAATATATTTATTAAGGAAATAGAAATAAATTATGTTATATAAAAATATATATATAAAATATCCAAACTACAACATTCCTTATTAATATTAGAGAATAAGTTGTGAAGTGGTTTGACC